AGCTATAGAACAAGAAATCTTTTTAGTTTGTTTTTCAACATGTTTTGTCCATTGTAATTTATCGTCTATTTCTAAGCCTAAGACCTTTTTCTTGTAAACCCGTTTAATTATATGATCTCTAATTTTAATAATAGGGTCATTTCTGATCTGTTTTAAGCGCTTTCCTGAGCCGATTAGCATATACTCGGTTTTTTCTTCATTTAATGTTAATTTGTTTGCATCTAACCAAGTCTTAACGTTTTGGATTTCCACCCCCAATTTGTATTCAATTTCAAAAGAAGACTCCCCAGTTGCAGTTAAGCTTGTATCATCAGCAAACATGGCGGGTTCAGTTATTTCTAAACTATTTGGCAGATCATTTATATAAATTGTAAACAGAAGTGGCCCAAGGTTAGATCCTTGTGGGATGCCGCATGTAATATTTTGGAAGGTTGATAGCGAGTTATTTACTTTGCAAATTTGTTTCCTGTTACTAAGATATGATTGAAACCATGACAGTGCTAATCCACGAATTCCATAACATCCCAATTTGGATAAAAGAATCTTGTGGTTTACCGTGTCAAAGGCCTTTTTAAGGTCTAAAAATAGGACACCATTAATCAAACCAGCGTCCATGTTTGCTAACCAGCTATTAGTTACATGTAGTAATGATGTTTCAGTTGAATGATTTACACGAAATCCAGACTGAAATTTGGAAATTATTTGGTGGTGTTCCAAATATTTCATTAATTGTTCATGTACAGCTTTCTCAAATACTTTGGGAACTATAGAAATGACAGAAATCGGCCTATAATTACCGCATAGGGTTTTTTCTTCTGATTTGTGGATAGGTGTTACTTTAGCAATTTTCCAGTCATCTGGAAAAATTCCAGTCTTAAGAGATTGGTTAAATATATACGTTAGTGGCACAACGATTGCACCCCCAGCGGCCTGCAATAGTTTCACAGAAATTTTGTCATAGCCCGATGATTTAGCAGTTTTCATTTGCTTAATTTCCTCCCTAACTTTATCATGGGATATAGTTTGAAAATCGAAGTTGTGTGGTGTAGATGTTACGAAAGACAGTGGATCGACATCACTTGCGTCTATATTTTCAGCTAAACGTGTACCTATGCGCGAGAAGAAGCTGTTAAATTCTTCTGCAATATTCTCATCTCCTACTATTTTTCCTTCGTCAACAACCAATTCATTAATTATAGTAGTTTTTGATGCATTGTTTAGCAATTCATTTATCAATTTCCAATTCTCTTTGTGGTCCTTGCATGCATTTAGTTTACTTTTATAATAATTGCTTTTGGTTTCCTTGATTGTTTTATTCAAATTGTTCCTACATTGTTTATACTCATTAAAATAATAGATTGAGTTATGCGTGACCGCTTTCTTTTCAAGCAATTATCCAATCTTGAGTAAGAAATTAGTCACGTGCATACGTCTTTATACCAGCTAAAGAACACTTTAACAAAAGACCATTGTTATGCAAACTATATAAAGATTTTTATATAAAGATTTTTATATAAAGATTTTTATATAAAGATTTGACTTATTATGCATACGTTTTTGAAGCCATTTAAAAAACTCGCGGGTCGTGTTTTATTAGGTCTAAAGCCACTCGTGCTGCGCGCTCGTGGCTTTAAACCTAATAAAACACTCCTGCTCGTTTTTTGAATAGTACATTATATATACAGCAGTCATTAAGAAATATATACATTAAGCCAGGCCCAGGCGCAGACGATTATATATTTTACCCATGCAGTGATTTTACCGATCGCAATTTATAGTTTAGATTCATGATATAACTGAGATATAACTGAGCTATAACCCATAGGTCTCCCGAAAAGGTATTTATATTATTTTCCCAAGGTTTCAAAAAGGTTAGCAAGACTGAAATAAAACTCGTACTTAAATTAAACATCGTCATCGAAATTTATCGAAACTCATTTTGATCAGGCATAACTTCAACTGACTCCTACATTGTATTTTTTGTTCTTTCACCACATTAACACGAGTGAATTTTGCGAAAATTCATCAAATTCTTTACTCAATTTTTCAAACTATGCAAGATAACAGCTGCCATCCCGACGTCACAAAATAAAGCTCTCTGATTGGTCAAGATTTCAGTCAGCCAATCAGAAAGAGCCTTATCTTGTGATATCGAGACGGCAATCGTCATATATTTTCTTGCCAACCTTATGGAGTAATAATATACATAATGATGCAACGCTACCTTTTCGGGAGACTATGGCTAACCCAGGGTGATTTTATAGATGTTTCATGTCTCACCGAGCACGAAGCTTATCGGCTCTGACTTTATTGTCTTAATTAAAATGGAGCATTAATTGAGCCTCGGAACCGGATTCATACATCCGTTTCAGAATCAACTCAAGAACTGGACAGCTAGACCAACCTCGTCCCCAGGGTCTTCTTCGTGATCGCGACCCTGGGGACGAGATTGCAGCTCTACGTCTACTGGACTAAAACTTGGACGGGAACGTCTATTGGACTGAAAGCTGAACTTTCAATCAGATATGATAACGTCGACCTAACACTCGCAAGTACCCGGACACATTGGTAATTATTACGTCACGCGGGCGACTCCCGAGCTACATTCTTGGACAAAACCCTTGAGACGTCACTTCCGTCCCTGTATGGGGACCCTCTTCTACTACTAACATCTCATGAAGTTCGGACTGAACAATAACAGATGAACAAAAGTATTTTACAGAAGCTGATGGAATGCAGAGACAACTGAAGTTATTGTTGGAGGTAACAGTGATTGATGGCCGATGGGGCGATTTGAATTCTGTGGAAAAAATTAAAATTTGTTATTAGATTGATGAATGCTGTTGAGGTTAACCAATCCATAACCTGGGAGAATTTTCCTGCTCGCCGTTCCAGGCGTAAGCCCGGGGCGAGGGTATTAATTCCGCACCCCTATTTACCCCCGGGGAAAGGAAACTCCCCCGGCATTAGTGAAGTCTAAAGTTCATCAATAATCGTGGGCACATGGCTGGGTTCACCGTTCATCATGAGTGGGTGGTCATGCTCACTGAATGTTCCAAACATGCATGAAGTATTTAAAGTAATTGTCATGGTATTTTTAAAATTGAAAATCCTGCTAAAAATATCACTTGTTATCAGGGGCGTAGAAACTGGAGGGGGGTACAGGGGGCACGTTTCGGACCAAAAAGTTGTGATCTGCTGGAAAATGAAGCTATCCAGTGTTTTTGTCTATATTAGACGTTTATAAGCAGAATTCGTTGCCTGACAATGCAACTATTAAGTTTAGAATGTTTTGCTGAAGTCATGCAGCTTGCAGAGCTTTTTTAATTTATTGCTTTATCGCTCAATTGGAGAATGCTTTGCGCAAAATTACTGGATAATATTTTGAAAAATATGACAAGGAATCAGTTTGTTGGAATAGTTATAATAGCAGTGTCAGTTGTAGGTTTGATATGTCAACAATCAGGACAGTTTATTTGTACTAAACCGTATCTAAAATATCAAATAAATTAACAGATAATTAACTTATTACATGCTTGATCTCACACTGCGTGAACCAATTTCACCTTGATTTCTGACATCTCAAAGTGTTAATTGATAATAAACAATTATTGAATGAGGTCGAGTAGGATATGAGGAAATTTAGGCAGATAACACAAACCGAGGCCTTAATAATTCCTCATATCCTGCGAGAACCGAATTCAGTAATTGTTTTATTATTTATTTGTCGGAATATGCAAAAAAGTTCGGCGAACCTTTCCTTTGAGGAAGGCATTTGTATTTCCCCGCTTTTAGCATAAGCCGCATAAATTAGCGTGATGTCATGGTAGTACCTCTCTCGCAGTCTAATATTTGCTTAGTATGAAGTATTTAGAGCTTGATGCAATTCATTTTCGTGAATAGAATAGAATAGAATACTGCTGTACGTGCAGCCTGGAGTACATCTATTCCCTCCCACCTTTCTGATAAAATCAGAGAGGGTTCAACGCCGTGCTCTACGGATTTTATATCCAAACATGTCCTATTCAGCTGCGCTTGCTACCTCCTCTCTTCCCCGTCTATCCGACCGTCGTGATACCCTATGTAAGAAAGTGTTGGATAAAATAGCAGTACCATCATCGCGCCTTAACCGTCTTTTACCTCCGACACGGGTTGAGTCGCATAGCAGAGAACTGCGCCACTCTAGTCACTTTAGCCTATTACTCGCTGGGGTACTGTGCCCCAAACGAGTATAGGTTTCGGCACGCATTTTTGGTGGATGTCAGATTTCCGATCGTCGTTGATAGCCACAAAATAGAATATTAATGAGCTGCAATTTTCCCTCAATTATCCATAAGGCTTCTGCCAATTTTACCCAAATTATCCACAAATAGCCCTCCATTTTGAGGAAATTTCGGGAAAATTGAATAATTTTACAAGGAATTTCGCATGGAAACAGCAACCTTCGCAATTCGCACATCGCAAGCATAGAATATATAATAGACCAGAAGCCTCACTGTACACCTTTCCTTAACATTTTCGTGTCCGCGATTTTCGCTTTGCGGATCACGAATTGCGCACGCTAGATGACGTGTGTGACACTTGCTGCGAACATCACGTCAGCGTTCGTCAGCGTCAATTCCTCAAATCAACGGTTTTTCTTGAAATTTTATTGAATTTACTAACAATTTTAATGAATGACTTGTTACGTATAATGTTGCTGAGTCTCTTGATAATGCGAATGCTGTCAATTCTAATACTAATAGCGACATAAATCCGCTTTTACCTAAGATGAGTGGTTTCAAAATTGCGTCACTTAATATAACGTACTAGTTTAGTAAAACACATTGAGGAACTTCGAATTTTTCTAGCCGATAATATTATTGATGTTTTGGCTATCAATGAGACAAGGCTTGATTCTGCGGTTAGAGATAATGAGGTGCACATACAAGGTTATGAAATTGTTCGCCGCGATAGATACTTAAACGGTAGATGCGGTAGACTTGCTCCAAGTCTCTCTTTGTGGACATCTATATATTGGACATCTATATTGTACGTGTCATGTAACGTACAATATAGATGTCCAATATATAGATGTCCACAAAGAGAGACTTGGAGCAAGTCTATAGATGCGGTGGTGGTGTTTGTTTTTATATACGAAGTTGCATTAATTTTTCGGTACGATACGATTTGAAATTTGATGAATTGGAAAATTTATGCATTTCAATCAATAAACCTAGATCTAAGCCTTTTCTTATAGTGACATGGTATAGGCCACCAAATTCGGTCGTGGATAAGTTTAATCACCTAGAAACGCTACTAGGCAAACTTGATGCCGAAAATATTGAGTACTATCTGGTGGGTGACCTGAATTGTGATTTAAGCTCTACAGTCTTGGATCATATAGTTCAAGGTTGCTCATTGATATTGCTGAAACATTCGATCTTCAACAACTGATAACTGAACAAACTCGAATTACAAGTTCATCGTCAACATTGATAGATCACATTTTTACAAACGCTCCTGATAGAGTGGTCTGCTCTGGTGTTTCTCACATTAGTATAAGTGATCATAGTCTTGTTTATGCCTTTAGAAAACTTTCCGCCAGAATGCCGACAAGAGGACATACTACAGTAAGCTATAGAAAGTTTAAAAACTTTGATTCTGCCAAATTTCGTAATGATATTAGTCAGCAAAACTGGGACTTTATCCATCAATTTAAGAATCCTAATGATATGTGGCATACTTGGAAAAACACATTTAATTTTGTTGTAGAAAAGCATGCTCCTTTACGCACAAAGCGTGTCAAGGCCTCTAAAGCGCCTTGGATTTCATCTCACTTGAAAGGTGAAATGCACAAAAGAGATATTCTTAAAATCAAGGCAATCCGGTCTAATGATCCTTTAGATTGGCATATTTTTAAGAAAATGCGAAATTCCGTAAATCAAAATATTGTCCGGGCGAAGGAAAACTATTTTAAACGTGCGTTTTCTGAAAATAAATCCAACTCGAAAAAGACCTGGAATATTATTAATGATCTCACATCTAAAAATCGAAAAAGCTCGCATATTCACGAAGTTGATTTGGATGGTAATTTGATTAACGATTCCAACAAAATTGCTGATGCTTTTAATGAACACTTCTCTAACATTGGTCCGAAGCTTGCAGATAATGTAGATTTTAATCAGAATAATCGTTGTTATCTCGATTATTTACCTAGTCAAAATAACAACATTCGTTTTCAATTAAAAGAAACTAATTTCTCTGCAGTTTTCGTCCTTTTGTCCAAGCTAAGTAGGTCAAAAGCTACTGGTCTGGACAAAATTTCGTCCCACCTACTTCGAGAGTGCCCTGATTTAATAGCGGAATCTCTTAGCTAGTTTTTAATCGATCAATTGTCTCCGGAGTATTCCCAGATGAGTGGAAACACGCTAAAGTTGTCCCAATACACAAACAAGGGAAACGTAATTGCCCTGACAATTATCGTCCGATTTCCATTGTCTCGGTGGTGGCTAAGGTTTTCGAAAGGATAATTTATGATCAGCTGTATTTATTTCTATCTGAAAATAGTCTGTTAACTAATTGTCAGTCGGGATTTCGTGGTCTACATTCTACTGTTACCGCCCTTCTTGAGGCCACTAACGATTGGGCTTATAATATCGATCATGGAAGCGTAAATGCTGTCCTGTTTCTCGACCTCAGGAAGGCGTTTGTTTGATACCGTAGACCACGAGATTCTTTTAGGAAAACTAAATTCATATGGCATCAGTGGTGTTGCTGGCAACTGGTTCAGATCATATCTCAGTGAACGGAAACAAAAATGTTTCGTTAATGGTCATTTTTCGACAAATCGTTTACTCCGTTGCGGAGTTCCCCAGGGAACTATTCTGGGGCCACTTTTATTCTTAATCTATATCAATGATCTCCCGAATTGCCTCTCTCACTCACGTGCACGCATGTATGCAGAGGACACTCATTTGACTTACGCAAGTAACAATATTGATGACATTGATCATCACTTCAACGAAGATCTTGCTAAAGTCAGTGAGTGGTTAGTAGCCAACAAACTTACTTTAAACCAATCTAAAACAGAATTTATGCTAATCGGCTCCCGTCAAAGGATTAGTACTTTCAACTCTAGTCCTTCACTGACAATAAATGACGTACCAATTAAACAAGTCTCTCACACAAAGTCACTTGGTGTACATTTAGACGAGAACTTGACTTGGAATGTTCATATCGAGAAATTATGCAAAAAAGTCTCTTCTGGCATAGGTGCATTAAAGCGTATATTAAGGCCATTCGTCTCACCTTCCACAATGCAACTTATTTACAATTGCTTAGTTCAACCCTATTTCGATTACTGTTGCGTTGTCTGGGATAGTTGCGGCAGTACTCTTGCGAATAAACTGCAAAAACTCCAAAATCGAGCCGCTTGAGTACTTACTTCATCTAGTTATGATACAAATGCTGAATATCTAATTGAAAAATTGAGCTGGAAAAACCTTGAATCTCAGCGAAAAATTGCCAAAGCTATAATGGTCTATAAATCTCTTAATGGTTTTGTGCCAGACTACCTGTCTGAAATGTTTGTTGATCGAAGTAGCGTAACAAATTATACATTGAGAGACGCCAGTAGAAAATTAGCTTTGGCTCAACCACGCACAAATTACCTGAAAAATAGTTTTAGCTATAGTGGTGGGGGGTATCGTAACCCGAGCAGGGAATTTATGAGAATATTTGACTTTGGTCAATTTTGGGGCGCTGATTTCAAAAATCGATGTTATACGGGCCAGTACCGGGGCATTCAGCCTCGTTTTGGTGCATACAGCCTCGTTTTGGGGCATATATAGGGAAGACGTTAGTTGCCTTAGTTAGCTAGGGAACCCAGTGATTTTCGTCAATTTCGAAGCGCTGATTTCAAAAATCTATGTTACATGGGCAAATACCGAGGGATTCAGCCTCGTTTTGGTGCATGCAGCCTCGTTTTGGTGCAAATAGAGGGAAATCATTAGTTAGCTTAGACCATAGATATATAAGATATCTATGGCTTAGACAGGCAAAGTCGTTGGTGATCTTGGTCAGTTTCGGTGGGCTGATTTCAAAAATCGACGTTACACGGGCAAATACCGAGGCCTTCAGCCTCGTTTTGGTGCATGCAGCCTCGTTTTGGTGCAAATAGAGGGAAATCATTAGTTAGCTTAGATAGGCAAAGTCGTTGGTGATCTTGGTCAATTTCGGTGCGCTGATTTCAAAAATTGAGGTTACGCAGCAAAATACCGAGGCATTCAGCCTCGTTTTGGTGCGTACAGCCTCATTTTGGTGCCTATATATGTGCCTTAGATAGCCAAGGAAGTTGGTGATCACTGTTTGCTCAATTTCGGTGCGCTAATTTCAAAAATCGAAGTTATGCGCAGATATATTAGGAACTCTAGCCTCCTTTTGATACACATATCCTTGATTTAGTGAAATTAAACTATTGGGAAGATTCTACTTAAACAAGTAAGAAAGCTGGTGATTTCCGTTCTTTTTGATAAAAAGCAATACTGTTGCCCCATTAAATTGAGGTCATGTTATGCATGGCATTACAAGCATGTACATTCTGATCACAAACCTTGCATTTTCCATTTCAAAATTCACTCGTGTCTTCAATTTCCACATCCAAATCATCCTCGTAGTCATTGTCGGAGGACGATCTGTTCTCACTCTCCGTGCCTGCAAGTCGCACATCAATCTCCTCGGGATAGCAAATGTCACTCCAGACAACGTTTCCATCTCCGTCCCATCCATGCTCGTCGGGGTTCTCAAGTTCTACTGGCAGCTGATCGGCGTGTCAAAAGATGTACGCGACATAGTTCGCTCCCGTGATGTGATGATGAAGATTTGACTGGCATGGTGGCATCAGAGTTAGGTCGATGATCTTCTTCTCTTTGTTAAACTTGTTCCAAAATACTTTCTTCCTTGCCTCATTGACTGAGAGGATACGTGGATGCTCGTATATAGAACAGACGAACCATTCTAAACCCCGATAAAGGCAGTGTTCTTGGTCACGGCTTTCCACAAGGCCTGCGTTCCCTTTCGAAAAAGAGTTCTTCTGTTACCAAGGGACAATCCAGTTGACGTCACGTCGATGATTTTCCTGTTCTTCCCGCTGCCATTGTCAATCAGAATCTGCGTGTCCGAAAAATCGTGACCAATGAACAAGATTATTATGTCTATATCACCAGATGGCGACTGTACCATTGCAGTTGAGCTAGGTGGCAATTTGCTAGCACGCAAAAATGCAACGAGTTTCTTGCGGTCGCTACATCATCATGATTGATCTTCTAGCACACCGACTTGTTAGAAAAGTATACAATTTTGTCGCCAATGCTGTCCTTGTCTTCTTCGATGGACTGTTGTATCGGATCAAAAAGCAAAAGTTGTATACTTTTCCAACAAGTCGGTGTGCTAGAAGATCAATCATGATGATGTAGCCACATTATCAGAATTAACCAGCGACCACGAGGAAGCGGACACGAAACTCATTGCGCGTGCTAGCCAATTGCCACCTAGCTCAACTGCAATGGTACGGTCGTCAACTGGTGATATAGACATAATAACCTTAGCTTGTTCATTGGTCACAATTTTTCGGACACGCAGATCCTGATTGACAATGGCAGCGGGAAGAACAGAAAAATCATCGACGTGACGTCAACTGGATTGTCCCTTGGTCACAGAAGAGCTCTTTTGGGAATGCATGCCTTTTCCGGAAACGATTCTGTATCTACTTTTTTCGAAAGGGAACGCAGGCCGTGTGGAAAGTCGTGACCAAGAACACGGCCTTTATCGGGGTTTAGAATGGTTCGTCTGTTCTATATACGAGCATCCACGTATCCTCTCAGTCATAAGGCAAGGAAGAAAGTATTTTGGAACAAGTTCAACAAAGAGAAGAAGTCATCGACCTAACTCTGATGCCACCATGCCAGTCAAATCTTCATCATCACATCACGAGAGCGAACTATGTCGCGTACATCTTTTGACACGCCGATCAGCTAACAGTAGAACTTGAGAACCCTGACGAGCATGGATGGATGGAGATGAAAACGTTGTCTGGAGTGACACTTGCTATCCCGAGGAGATTGATGTGCTACTCGCAGGCACGGAGAGTGAGAACAGTTCGTCCTCCGATGATGACTACGAGGATGATTTGGATGTGGAAATTGAAGACACGAGTAAATTTTGAAATGAAAAATGCAAGGTTTGTGATCAGAATGTACATGCTTGTAATGCCATGCATAACATGACCTCAATTTAGTGGGGCAACAGTATTGCTTTTTATCAAAAAGAACAGAAATCACTAGCTTTCTTACTTGTTTAATTAAGTAGGATCTTCCCAATAGTTTCACTAAATCAAGGATATGTGTATCAAAAGGAGGCTAGAGGTCCCAATATATGCACCGAAATTGAGCAAAATAACCAACTTCCTTGGCTATCTAAGGCACATATATAGGCACCAAAACGAGGCTGTACGCATCAAAACGAGGCGGAAGGCCTCGGTATTTTGCTGTGTAACCTCAATTTTTGAAATCAGCGCACCGAAATTGACCAAGATCACCAACGACTTTGCCTATCTAAGCTAACTAATGATTTCCCTCTATTTGCACCAAAACGAGGATGTATGCATCAAAACGAGGCTGAAGGCCCCAGTATTGGCCCGTATAACATCGATTTTTGAAATCAGCGCCCCAAAATTGACCAAAGTCACACATTCTCATAAATTCCCTGCTCGGGTTACGATACCCCC